ATGGTCATCTGGAGGCCATGATTGAAGCCAATGGCAATTTTATTGATTAAATTAGTATATCTAGATATATAGGTGTAATTTGGGTAAATATATCTGTTAAAATGAGATGCCAGTGTTATTTTCATTCTTGCGTCATCTAGATGACAATTTATCCATCGCCCCCTATATATATATGTGTGTGTGTGTGTGTTATTATTATTTGTAATGTTATTTTTAGTGGATACTCATATTTGAGTAGACGTTCCATTTATTTATTAAACAGTATATTTATTCATTTTCACCCACTGTCCCGAATGTTCAAGAAACTTATTAAAGAAAGATTTGCGCTCCCCAGCAGGATTTGAACTTGTGTCCCTCTACTTTTAGAGTCAGCATGCTCTAACCAACTGAAATACAGACAACCAGTCAGTCAGGCAAGTCCAAATTTGTACCTTTAATTGAAACTTCTCTCATCATAGATCTCCCTAAATTTTTCAAATATGCACTGCTTCATATCCAAAATGTAAACAATATATATATAATCTGTGTATTTAGGCAGCAAATATTCTTTAAGGTAAATATTATGAAAAACAACTGATATTTTGTGGTGATTAATTTAAATGATCAACTTCTTCAAATTATGAACAATCCTTCTAAGATATGGAAGAAACCAGTATAACAATACTTTTATCATTGTCTTTTACTTCTTTTAACTTAATTGACTTAAGATGTGATAAAGAGATAGAGGGAATTGTAATTTGGTCTCTTAAAAAAAAAAGAAGCTCACATGATACACAAGATGCATGATAAAATAAATTTTAATAAATGAAAATTTGGGGGTTGCATGATATGCGATATCACACATTACATGAGTATATATGGTATGTGTATATTTTGTAATAAGATTTCTTGAACATTCAATTCAGTAGACCATACTAAATAAATATACTGTTTAATAAATAAATGGAGTGTTAATAAAAATGTTTAAATATATATATATATATATATATATATATATATATATTTTCGCTTCCAGCATCTTATATGCACGAGTTTGTCACTACTTGTAAATCTTCCATGTAAACAGAAACAGACTATCATCAATGTCTTGTCCATGTATTGCTTAATATATTGTAATGTAATTGTGATCTTTGATAATGGCTTATGTAAACCGAAAGCTTAGAAAGGATTAAAAAATACGTATCAATATTGTGATTTTCTTTCTTCGTTTAATGATAATGTTATTAAGCTTATCAGATGATATGAAAAGAATTTACATAAAATAAATAAACAATACTTGTCTATATTATTTAATGAAACATGTATCAATGAAAAAATGCTGCCTAAATACACACACAATATATATGTGTGTGGTAGTTTTGTATTTTTAATCTATGTATTTTATATGCTCTGTTATAATAAATACATTGAGCTCTTTTTGTGGATCAGTTTTAATATTTCGTATTATTAGGATTCATTGGATTATATACCTTCAGATTATTACCTGTGTGTGTGTGTGTATATGTATATATAAATACTATAATCATTTCCCCACAAGCAAGGTGATAATGCTGCAAAGACACTAGGAACTAATGCGAATGAAAGAAAATCAGAAGACTTTAGAAGAAATTGGAAACCCAAGCCTAAACAGGAAACAACGGATAAATATATATATATTTCTTAATTGAGGCATTCTAAATATTTACACTATTTACATTGTTTGAGCTGTTGTCCTCATTTTTGTTGCCATATACACTTCCTTCAGTTGATTGGAATTTCAAACTGAACCCTGTAATAAAAGATTGATTTTGAAATTACAATCACCTGAAGAAGGTTGGCATGTACAATGGCTGAAACATCAATGAAGAGTCCAAACAATGTAAATCCTCTATATATAAATATATATCTGGAGAAGTTAAACTCCACAAAAATAATGCATAATGACTGTCATTCAGGGTTTCCGTGGCAAGTCTTTTGCACTGTTACTTTTTTATCAACAGATCCAAAAAGTGTGGATGGTCCGACACATGCCATCACCACTTGAAACAAGTCATCTGACAACTACATCTAATTAGTTCCACACATATCTGGCTATTGCAAAAAACTCTACGAAACAACATCAACTTCATCTTGGCACTGGGAATGTACAAATTCTCCAGGACAACAACTCAGCACCAGAAAGAAAAACAGCTCTGGTCGAATTGGAGCTAAAGAGGTACAACATTGGTATAGCTACATTGAGAAGTAAGCATCATTTGAATACATGAAATGAGAAAGCAAAATAAGACATCTAACAGGGTTCCTGCTGCACTTGGATACAATACATTCTCCTGTACTGTTTGTTGTCTTTTGTGCAATTATCAAGCTGGTCTCAAAAGATATGCCCATCATAGTCATGCAGAAAATTAGTTTGTGGTCGTCGGAACCTCATATGTTGAACTTGACTGGAGAATCCATCATATATATATATATATATATATATATATACACACACACACACACATTTATATTTAAGTATATAACTGTATATATTTTCTTAATTTTTTTGATATATGTATTTATATATATATATATATGTATATTTATCTAAGTGTATGTACATATGCAAATACGTATATATATTCTCATAATTCACATTTTCTTGCTAATACATTTTATATATATAAAATCAGTATAAATATTGACATATTACAATTAACAATTTTTTGAGAATAACAATGATTTTTCCAGATACAAATCATACTATTTAACCCATAGGCTGAAGGAGGAGATGGATTCACAACTTTCTCAAGGGTATTTGTGCAGAAGTGAATATAATGAACTTATGGTTCTACCAAATGATGCTGAGAATACCATGGAAGGAGCATGTGTGCAATGAGGAAGTTTTAAGGAAAATACTTAGAATCAGAAAGAGACAAGCATCACAGATGTGGTTCTATAGAAGAAGGCGGAGAATACCATGGATGGAGCATGTGAGCAAATTTTAAGGAAAATGGAAGCTAAAAGGACACTTATATTTAAAATCAGAAAGAGACAAGCATCAGAGATGTGGTTCTATAGAAGAAGGTGGAGAATACCATGGATGGAGCATGTATGCAAAGAGAAAGTTTTAAGGAAAATGGAAACAAAAAGGACACTTGTAATTATGATGAGAAAAATATGGTTGAATTTTCTGGGACACATAATGAGGAATGTAGGGTCAGAAAATTTGACACTCACAGGAAATATTGAAGTCTAGAGGAATAGTGGAAAATATTAAGCAAATTATCTTATGTGAATGAATGGTCAAACAAGGACTAGGATTCCCAAACAGTGCATCATACCTCATATGTGCAGTGGAAGAGGGTAGTAGGTGAGGTGGAATGATTGAAAGACAATCAAAGATTTAGTAACAGTTTGAAAAAATTCATACAATAAAATATGATTTCAAAATTTAAAATATTATTATGGATTACTTGTAATATCATACATGAATCCCAGTATAAATAGTTATAAATAATTATTGACCAATTTTATCATTGTGATATTTTTGGATTATATCAAGTATCAAGATTATAGTAACTAGGGTTCACAAATTGGAGGAGAGAGTTATCAATAATAATATTCTCACTTTGAATCCGCAGTTATCTCCCTTTGACCCTCACTCTGTTATTTATATTATTTTTAAATGTACTTTTTATCACATAAAATTTGGTGAGGCATGAGCAAATTTTCATTCCGAAAATGCAGCCCAGATAAAAAATGTTTGGAAACCACTGTAATAGAAAATGGAAAATGTGATACTGAAATCCAAAAAGAGCATTCCAGGAGCTAAACAAAGTATTAAGTGGGCTTATGGCCACATCATGTAAAAACACTAGTACTCATATGATCACCAAAATTAAGCAACATCAAGCTTGGTCAGTATCTAGGTGGGTAACTGCTTGGGAATATCAGGTCCTGTAAGCTTACGAAAACACAAAGTAATAATAATTGGTGTGTGCAAAAGTTCCCAGCAGCTTTTACTTTTTTGAAATAAATTTTTGGTGCATACCAAATTGAATAAAAACTGATGTTTGCAAAATAGTGATTTGAACATGTAATGTATATACTCATGTATAGTGTGTGTTTTTATGATCACATTTTCACACAGAAAAAAAGTAATTTTTCTGAAGAGGGTAAAAATCATACATTTTTGGTAACCTGTTGCACTATACACGGGTAAATTTTTCCTGAAGGGATTAAAATTCATGTGAAAAAATTCAGGGATTGCACTCTATATGAAGTCGGCTTATACATGCATATATACGGTTATTAATATAAGGTTGAGAATTATAATCTAGTAGAATCCATTATTACAAACTCTACCCCATTCCTCTGTGTTCTTACCAAATTGACAAAGGCATCTTCGTTTGAGTCATGCGTTCCAGTGTTTACATTAAATGATGCTAATTTTAATTAGGCATGAGCAAATTTTCATTCCAAAAAAATGGTTCAGAGAAAAAAAGTTTGGGAACCACTGGCTTAAAGGATAGGAAGTTGTGGAGAGTCATGACCATCGACATGAAAGAAGAAAGTAGTCGCCATGAATTAATCTGTTCTTATCTAAATCTATAAAAGCTTGGCGCATCAGAACGAACGTGGCACGGAATTCTTTTCTTTATTTTCATACATTCATGAACAGAATTTCACATATTCACAATCCAAAGAATTTTCTGATTAAAGAAAAAAAGGAAAGTTTTGTGACGCAACATTCTTTCAGGGTTAGGCTTGAAAGATTGGGAACTACTTGTTTACCTTGCAGACACTGAAACTGATGCACAAACTGTGTGACGCTTCTATCCGCAGCCAATGCACAGTGCATCAGTAACATTTCAAACGTCGAAAGAGCCAGAATATAGTCCAAGGTTTTTTTTGTTTTTTGTTTTTTTTTGCTATAGAATCTCCCCGAGAAGAAAAGAGGGTGTGTGGGGTTGGAATTATCGAATTGCACTCAGTGACACTCTGGCATCAAATTAATGTCATTCAAGGATCAGACACAATTATTTTGCAGCAAAGGAGACTGAAAGAAAGAAAGAAAGAAAGAAAGAAAGAAAGAAAGAAAGAATACTAAAAGAAAGAAAGTAAATTAGAAAGAAAGAAAGAATACTAAAAAAAAGAAAGTAAATTAGAAAGAAAGAAAGAAAGAAGGAAAAAAAGAAAGAAAGAAAGAAAAAAAGAAAGAAAGACAGACAGCATACCAGAAAGAAAGGCATGTTAAAAGAAAGAAAGGCAGAAAGAAAAAAAGAAAGTAGGCATACTTGAAGAAAGAAACAAGGCATACTAAAGAATGAAAGTAGGTTTACTTGATGAAAGAAAGAAAGAAAGAAAGAAAGTAGGGATACTAGAAGAAAAAAGAAATATAGAAAGAAAGAAGGCATACTACAAGAAAGAAAAAAGAAAGTGTACTAAAAGAAAGAAAGAAAGAAAGGCATACTAGAAAAAAAAAAGAAATATAGAATGAAAGAAGGCATGCTACAAGAAAGAAAAAAAGAAGGCATACAAAAAGAAAGAAAGAAGATATACATGGAGGAAGAAAGAAAGAGAATTAACTCCAGCCACACAGCTGTTAGCTTAAAGGGTTGCTTCATGGAATAATACTAATAAACGAGTCTATTCAAGTTTAAGGATCATTGAATGAGCATTAATAACAAACAAGCAAAAAAGATTTCAAAAAAAGACCAGACAGGGTAGAGACGGATATGGGGGGAAGTAGGACAAACAGACAGACAGATGGACAACATGGAAGCTGAAAAAACAGGGTGGAAATATAGCCAAACAGAATGAATAAAAGAGAGTGGGAAATTGAGAAAATGAGATATATAGATGGAATATATATGTGTGCATGTGTGTGTGTGTGTGTGTGTGCACAAAGCCCTACATACTTGCAAACACGCAATACATGAATATATATATATATATATATATATATATATATATATATATATAGGTAGAAAGATACTGAACAGGCTTAGATAGATATTAAAATAATAGATATGAACAAAAATAGATAGATAGATATGAATAGACTGTGATAGATAGATAGATAGATAGATAGATAGATAGGTAAGTAGGTAAGAACAGACTGAGATAGATAGATAGATTAATATGAATAGACTGCGATAGATACATAGATAGATAAGAACAGACTGAGATAGATAGATAGATTAATATGAATAGACTGTGATAGATAGATAGATAAATATGAATAGACTGTGATAGATAGATAGATAAATATGAATAGACTGTGATAGATAGATAGATAGATAGATAGATAGATAGATAGATAGATAAGTAGGTAAGAACAGACTGAGATAGATTGATAGATTAATATGAATAGACTGTGATAGATAGATAGATAGATAGATAGATAGATAGATAGATAAGTAGGTAAGAACAGACTGAGATAGATAGATTAATATGAATAGACTGTGATAGATAGATAGATAGATAGATAGATAGATAGATAGATAGATAGATAGGTAAGTAGGTAAGAACAGACTGAGATAGATTAATATGAATAGACTGTGATAGATCGATAGATAGATAGATAGATAGATAGATAGATAGGTAAGTAGGTAAGAACAGACTGAGATAGATAGATTAATATGAATAGACTGTGATAGATAGATAGATAGATAGATAGATAGATAGATAGATAGATAGATAGATAGATAGGTAAGAACAGACGGAGATAGATAGATAGATAGATAGATAAGAACAGACTGAGATAGATAGATAGATAGGTAAGAACAGACTGAGATAGATAGATAGATAGATAGATAGGTAAGAACAGACTGATAGATAGATAGATAGATAGATAGATAGATAGGTAAGAACAGACTGATAGATAGATAGATAGATAGATAGATAGATAGATAGATAGGTAAGAACAGACTGATAGATAGATAGATAGATAGATAGATAGATAGATAGATAGGTAAGAACAGACTGATAGATAGATAGATAGATAGATAGATAGATAGATAGGTAAGAACAGACGGAGATAGATAGATAGATAAGAACAGACTGAGATAGATAGATAGGTAAGAACAGACTGAGATAGATAGATAGGTAAGAACAGACTTAGATAGATAGATAGATAGATAGATAGATAGATAGATAGATATCCATATACATTCTTCCATATAAGGAACCAAAGCAAAAATGAATTAAGTTGGACACAGAGAAAGACAAACGGTAACTCAATTGAAACCATGAAATGAAAATAAAAACTGACCATTAAATAGAAGCAGTATGACGAAAACTTTTTTTTTGAAAAATCTCATTCCAATCTTATTTGGAAGAATTCCAAAGAAAAAGGCATTGCTTGTGACTTGACCAAAACATGCCATTTAAAAACCGAGGAATAACTAGAACTAGAAACAGGCAAAGAGAACAGAATCTTGATAGCTAATAATGTCATGATTTTTGTCTGTAACATTTTGTTGCATTAGAGTTATCTCTCTTTCCCTGGCTGATTCGGGTGGCAGTGTCTTTTCTTTGGGAATAATAGATTTTCCCCAAATGTTTACAAAATTGGGAGAGGAAAAAAAATAACTCTGTAAAAGGGCAGAGAACCAAAATTATAATTGGAAAAATATATTTAAAGAGGGACATGTAAAAATGTAATAATAATAGTAAGGACAGCATGGGTAAACTGGTATGAATATAAGATTCTACTGGATATAAAATGAGGGATCAGTTGTCTATTGTTATTAAGTAATAAACTGATCCCCAATATTACTACATATTAATAACTGGAAAATTATATTTAAAGGTTCTCATGTGAAAACCTAATAATATTTATAGTAAGGACACAAAACCTCATTTTGAGAGAATAGGTAAACTAGTATGAATATAAGATTCTATTGGACATAAAGTGGGGGACTTCTTTTCTATTGTTATTAAGTAATAAACTGATATTCCATGTATTACTACATATTAACAATCAGAAAAATATATTTAAAGACTCACAGGTAAAAATGTAATAATAATAGTAAGGACATCAAATTTCATTTTGTCAACATAGATAAACTAGTATAAATATAGGATTCTACTGGACATAAAATGGAGGATCGGTTGTCTATTGTTATTAAGTAATAAACTGATCCCTGTTGAGATAAAAACAGAAAGAAATGGACAGAGAAAGAGAGTGGAGAACAAAACGTAACCAGAGAGAGAGCAAAAGAGTGAGAGGGAGAGAGAGAGCTGAATACATAACAGAGAAAGGGAGATAAAAAGAGAAAAATGGACAGAGAAAGAGACTTGAAAACAAAATGTAACCAAACACAAATAAATGTAAAGAGTGAGAGGCAAAAAGAGAGAGAGAGAGAGAGATGATCTGTCTGAGAACAAGAGACAGATATGAGCAGACATGGTTAGGTAATTACAATTTGGAAAAGAATCAAACAATAGATATATAGATCAGATAATTCCAGTGTTTCAAGATAGAAACTCAGAACTTATAATTCACATCAAAGGCTCCTGAAAGACTGGCCATGATTAAAGACAATAACATTTTCATCAAGAACTTAATTATAAATAATTCAATGAGCACATTTTTAAATTCTTCAATAACCATATCTGGCCAACATATTTTGCATCAAAAATGCATCCCTACAAAAGGTATGGATAATTTATCAAACTGGCTTTTCAGTGATAAACATTGACTCTTGCATAAAAACTTATTAAAAATGACAGCCATCTGTAAACCAGATGCCAAGACAAACCCACAGAGGTTTTTCTCTAAGTAAATTAAAAATTAATACCGACTGACTATATCAAACATATTTTTTTCTTATATTCAGGATGTATGTGATCATAGCTCTCCATAACTTTCTGTCTATATGAGATTTATTTTCATTATCTCCCACAGCCCTTTTTCTGGCAACCATTTACACAAACGCATTAAATAGGTTACTTACTATTCTCCTGTCCCCTCTGCCTTCAATATATCTTGTCAGTATTAGATTCTCCAGGCTTTCTTTCTGCAAATTTCAACTGTATCAAACATATAATTTCAGTTATCTCTAGTCTATTCAAGTTTGTATTGTTTGACTGTTTCTTCTACTGAATCTTAGTATATTTTAATTTTTAAATAGTGATGTCTATAATGATGATAATTTATAATAATTTATAAGTCTACTATTCATCCACAGAGGCAAGGTGGAGTAATGGGTAGTAGATCAGATTGAGGAATTGGAGAGCAGAGTTCGAATTCCAGTTGAATCCATTACATTCACTTATGTGCTAATACCCTTGGGAAAGGTATGAATCCTCTTGTTCTCCCCCTAGCTATGGGTAAATAGCATGACAGACCGGGTTCTATAGCCTTGGATGGCAACTGGTCTACTGCAGAAAGAAATGACAATACTGCAGGGAAAAAATCTGCCTCGTCAGTCATGTATTGAAAGATACATGATCGCATAATGCATGTATCACACATGGCACATAACTGACTGATTGATTTGTCCATGCATCGAATATTGCTTCCATATATTGTCTGAATCTTCTGCTATGTATTTAGAGAATCTTGATAAACGATAAAGAAAAGTCTGCAATATTATTTGTCCTGATCTGGCAGCTCGGCTTCAGTCACTTTCCCACTTCTATAACATAACTCCACTGTGCCTTTTCTATAAATATTTTCATAGCAAATTGTTCTGATGAACTTTCCACTATGCTACCTAGGATTTATGAGCTTAAGTGCAGTACTAGATTGGTGGTAAGGTCTCATCATTTTACAGTTGAAATGGCTAGAGGTAAATGTAAGTTCTATGCTAGCAGTTTCTTCTCTCGCACTTTTCACTTGTGGAACTTTCTTCTGTCTCCATGTTTTCTAACTAAATTTTCAATGCAATATCAATCATTTATCTTCTGTCTTCTCAATTCCTGTTCTTTATTGTTCTCTTTCCTTAATAATGTTTTCTTTTTCTCATATTCCATAACACTTAGAAACTCTTAGTGGCTTCTAACATAAATTATCAGATCTTCATCTCTTTTGTTGAGTTGTGTGATATTAATGAAAGAAGGGGTGGTAGGCAAGGAAGATTATGAGGATAAGGAGGATAGATAACAATTGACCTTTGACTTAAGACGTTAAGCTTGTAGCTTAGGGGGCTACTGTTAAAACGATTATGATCAATGAGGTATGTGATATGAATAAAAGAGGAGATGGAAGGAAATGAAGATTGTGAGGATAAGGAGGATTGATAATGAATGACTCTTGACTTTAAGAGGTTAAGCTTCAGGGGAGCATCCATGCAGGAGTCTGTTCCATAAAGTGGCTGTTCTTGTGGAAAAAAAGCTGTCTGATGAGAACTTTTTTCTTACATTTGAAATACAGAGGATATGGGAATGTTTCAACTCTGGAATTTCTAGTTCAAGTAATGTTTATCCCAATATTTGTCGGGGTCGCAAGGATAAATTAGGAATAAAGTTAGGAGTCTTGTATGTCCCCAGGGATCTTTACTTAACACTGTGAAGCACAATAAGTTCACTGAGGTCATAAAGCATAACAGCCTATGTGAGGACATTGTGCAAGGTACCATCAAGAGATGTCACAGGTAAAAACGGCTGGCTGGGATTTATGGCTTTCCCAAGGGTGTTTGTGTGAAATCAAATGCAATAGACTAGCCTGGAATTTGAACTCAGATCACAGATTCCACTTTCCACACAGATATTCATTATGCTACCTGTACATGTCAAATTAGATTACCCAATCATAAAACTTAAAGAATAGTCAACAATGCAAATGTATCCACTTTGTGAGCTTATCTGACAGTTCTAAAACAGCAAAGTCATATATAGCAAATATAAAAAAAGCTGTTCTTGGCCTTCAATGATAAGGATTTTGATTACAAACAAAGAAAGAGTACTGAACTGTTATATAATAGCAATCCTCTTATATGGCAATGGATGCTGGACAATCTCCACACAGATGAAGAATAGACTTGAACCAACAGAAATATGCTACAAAAAAAAGATTTCTGAACTGTTATTTAATATCAGTCCTCCTATATGGGAATGAATGCTGGATAATATACTCAAAAATTAAGAGTCTTGAAGCAATAGAAATGTAGTTCTACAGAAGGATGTTGAGAATACCATGGAACGAACAGGTGAGCAACTATGAAGTTTTAGGGAAAATGAATACAAAAAGGACACTTAAACTTAACATCAGAAAGAGAGAGTTGAAATTTCTAGTGCACATCATGAGGAAAAAGAGCTTGGAAAATGTGATACTCACAGGACAGATTGAATGCAAGAAGGACAGAAGGAAACAATGCATAAACTACCTAGCAAGCTTGGGTAAATGCATGGCAGAACACATTTTAGGGGAAATAACAAAAGGACAAAATTTTTTAAGAGCTACAAAGGACAAGAAATTGTGGAGAGCCTTGATTTCCAATGTCCTGAAGGGGCATGGTACATAGAAGAAGAAGTCAGTTTATGATTCCTTTCTTGTAGAGGAATGGAGAGAGGAGAGAAGAGAAAGAAAGAAAGAAAGAGAACAGGAATAACAATTTTTTATGTGATACACAGCAGCCATCTTGTTCTTGGCAGCCATTTGCAATTCTCTCTAGAGCAAGAATACCACTTTATTTAACAAAGAATGTATGGCCATAATACAGCATAAGGTAACCTGAGAAACACCAATTAATCCATTATTAATTGACAATCTATAGAGTAGCCAAGTAGGTCAGCTACAACAATAAAGAGACAAAGCCAAACAAACAGATTAGAAATCAAGAAACCGATTAAAATTTGCTGTCTTCAGGTATTCAAATGCCAAAAGATAGATTGGCATTAATTTTCAATGGCATTTTAACATTAAAACATTGTGAATATCTAAAACAATGCGAACAGCTTTAGGGTTTGAGAACTGAACAGCTTTGGATTTTTCTCACATATCAACTTCTTATTGTTATCACCACACTCCACACCCATGTTTTTTTTACCTAGTCAATAGAGCTGTAATTCAAAAGAGATAATTGAATCAGTAAAAAAAAAAAAAAAATGACATAGAATGGAATTAATATGTGTGATTCTAAAAGCAAAAATCCCCCACTTAGGTGTCCATTGATACAAGATCATATGCAAAATATGCATTATCTCAAAGCAAGCATTATTGATTTGATAGAACATCTGTCAAGTACTTCTCATTGTTTTAAGGATCTTTTTTATATTACACGGAAAGTCATCCTATCATATAAAATTGAATGGCTGATAATCTAATTATTATAAAATAAAGGAAATGAGATATAATAACAGTCATAGGTTCTTTTCTTTCATTATCTTTCATCTAATACAAAGCCCAAGAGCCACTCAAGGAAGAGGGTTACTAAATACGATTGTTGTAAGGGTTTACAGTTATAACTTGCTGTTTTCAGGTATTCAAATGCCAAAAGATAGACTGACATTAATTTTCAATGGCATTTTAACATAAAATAATAGTATTTGTGTAAACTGAACAGGAAATAATAAAATAATATTATTCTGTTAATGAGAAATAATAAAACAAAAAAACAACATCCAATAATAACAACTATGAATATGGACACAATATCTTGACCGTGTTTTGAAAATGAAAACATTTTTTATAAATACAATTATACAACAAACTATTTCTTGTTAAGAGTTAACATATTTCAACCCTGAAAATGGCTAAATGTATAGCCAAAAGTGATAGGATAAAAAGAACAATTGGACAGTTTCAATATAAATTATCATCCGAAAAGAAATAAAATAATTAGATCACATCAGAAATTGTATAAAAAACTAAATCAAAGCACCTTGTCTGTTGTATTCAATGAAATGTGCATGAAATATATATATATATATATATATATATATATATATATATATATATATATATACTTGTATATATTTTGAGCAATAAAAATATTAAAATTTAAAATCTTCAGGCACACTGGGTTGTACATTAATATTCTTTCATTTTTATTATTATTTCATTTAGATTCCTTGACTAGTTTCGGCCAAAAAGGCTATCTTCAGGAGAGAAAAATTTATGCTAGCTTGTAGCTGTGAACTACAGAAATGAATGTCTTGATGGAGAAAATGAACTTTTGTCTGTAGTTTTCATTTGTTTTTTTATTTTTTTTAACATGAATTTTGTGTTGGTTAAACAGTCTCTTTTAAGTTGTTAATTAAGATAAGAGCAGGACGGATTCATGCTGCTTTGAATTCCCTTGGTCATTTTGACAGTTTTATTGGTTCCTGAAAAGGGAATGTGTCTCAGTTAAGTGTGTGTGTGTGTTATTTGGTTCTTAGAGAGTGAGAGAGTATGATGTGTGTAAGCGTGTATATTACTATAGGTTTATGT